TCTCAAAAATCGCACAAAAACAATGCAAGTAGGCCATCCTACATTAGATAACACTGTTGTTGGATGTGGTGTTCCTCAAGGACCAATTCTTGGACCATTGCTTTTCTTGCAGTATATGTCAATGATATCCACAGATGCTCGCGTAAATTTAGTTTTTTCTTAGCAGATGACGCTAATATTTTGTATGCAGACAAAATTTGAAAGACCTTGAGACAATGGTCAACAATGAACCACAAAACCTTTATAACTGGTTGACAGCCAACAAACTAACTATTAACATTAAAAAATTCAACTTTGTAATTTTTCATCCTTGCCAAAGTAAAGTAAAGCAAAGCCTTTGGACAGGCCCAAGTGGCCTGAGGGGTCAGCGCTTAAGTCTGGTTTCTTAGCATGAAGCGGCTAGGAGTATTGTTACTCCCCCCTGAATGGGATGCTAGTTCATCACAAGGTTACGCCTAGCATATTTTATGGTACCCATTTGTACATCTGGGTGAAGAGAAGCACTGTGAGAGTGAAGTGTCTTGCCAAAGGACACAACACAATGACCCCTGCCAGGGCTTGAACCCAGACCACTCGATCTGGAGTCAAGCGCACTAACCATGAGGCCACTGCGCCTCCACAAAAGCAACTTGCTAATACCAACCAAAACTTTGCATGTTTGATAATGAGAAGAATAAATATGTTTGTCTATAGTCTAAAGTTTACCTAAAATACCTGGGCATTCATATTGATCAGAATCTCTTTTAGAAAACCACATTGATTCTATTGTTACAAAAATTTGTAAAAATGTAATGGGCTTAAACTTGCAAAGCTATGCCACTCTGTACCTTAACCAATATTACTGAATGTCTACAAGTCACTAATTCACTAATTCATTCTCATTCAACCTATGGTCTTGCTGCCTGGGGTCAGAGCGTTTAATTACACGATCACAGCTCGGACGCTTCTTGCAAAATGTAGTGACTATCAATTTTAGAGACTGACTCTTCAGTTTCTAGCATTAGGAAAAATAATTGTACCGCAAGCATGTTCATCATAACCTGAGCAGTAAGTACGCCTCGAGATGCTGGGCGAAGAGAAAGTGGCTTCATGTTTTGTGAGACCCACCATTTCCAGAAGTTCGAACGAATCGAGTAGAAAGCGTGAAAACATAGCGCTGATAAGTACCATGACCAAACAATGAAATTCACGCCTCCTGCAGTTGGACTGACACCATTTTACCCGTGACTTTGTTTGCACTACACATTTGCGGTCGGCAATTAAAATTATCACATGCTTGACGGGTCACATGACAATATTGTCCAGATCAAATTACCGCGTCGGACTTAATGTCAACATGAACATCGCTGACTCAATCTCATTTTATTAAATTTTGAGAAAGGCCGTGACACCGATCTTAAGGTAAAACAACACATCTTTGACAAAGCGCAATTTTTTTAAATGAACAATGTAAACCTTGCGATGGTTCACTGAGGAGAGAATGATGGAAACTTTCTCAAGCCGTTCGCTATCATTTGATAACTTCCTAGGCGAAACATAATCTGCAAAATAACTTCTTTTTTAATGCAAAAGTCTTTGTTTTACCGAAACGTGATTTAAAACTCAACACAAGCTAAATGTAGTATAAAACGACGATTGGTGAAAAGGGGTTTGAATTTTCTGGGCCTTAGTGTAAGAGAAAACCCCCATACGACATGACTTATCTCCTCTTCCTTCTCGAATCCTTTGTAGTTCGCTTCTCTTTGCTAATGACCTCTTTTCAGTCTGTTTTCTGGAGCTGTTTGTATTTCCTTCTCACGTTGCTCTCCACTATATATTCGCCTTTTTACTAATGCTTTTCCTTGTTCTATTTCGCGTTCCTCTCGTCGTGTTCTGCTTATTTTAGCGCGCTTTCTAACTTTCCTGCGCGTTTTTCTCGACTCGCTGTACGGCTTATACTTCTTGCTTTCTTTGGTCGCTCTGTCTCTTTCTCTCCATACTACATTGTGCTGAACTGATTTTAGCACACCTATTCAAGCAAAAATCGCGCGATCGTATCGAGCTGCCATTTTTGTTTTGCATATTGACACTTTCAAAGCTCGCACCCATATCTCCCGCGGTCAAAACCCAATGTAGCTTCCTTAAGTCAATTTACTGTGACAAAACTAAATATTTGATTCAATTTTTCCCCCTGGATTTAGTGTTCAACTTATCAATGTGAATCTGCGTTAATCTTCCAAGCGGAAATATAGCTAACACAATAAGAGCGGCATGGCCGCTGCCCCACCAACGGGTGCATCACATAAAGTCCTTCTCTCAACTCACGAGAAAGAAAACTTCCAGCGGATTGCGAGACTATTGGTGGCTGGAGGCACAGCCATAATGCGAGAAATGTTTGATCAGTTTTTCAGCCCTCATCAATTTGTCGTGAGAATAAACAATCCTGCCGTTAAGCGTAAGATTAAGAAGGCAAAACTTTCCAAGCCACAAATGGAATGCCTTTATCCAAAACCGGGAACATGCAATAGAACTTCGAAAGACTTCGACATTAGCCTCCTTACAAACACTATTTAAAACAGTTTGTAACCTTACTCCACCAGCATCTGGGTGGGATACCTTTCCACCACCAACAGACCATTCTACAGCTGCTGATCTGACAAGAATTAAAGAATACCGCAACAAAATTTGCCACGGCTACCCTGAAATGGAAATGGGTGAAACTGAATTTAATTCGTTATGGAACGACATTCAAAAGGGTCATGTGACACTAGCAGGCTCGATAAGTCATTCAGCTCAAAGTGCATGGGAAAGATTGATTGAAAAGTTCTTAACTGATCCGCTAACGTCTGAGGATGAGAGAAATGTTAGAGAATTGAAAGAATGGTACGAAAATGAAGTAGGAACCAAAGAGGAAATAAAGAAAGTTGCAAAGTCTATTCAAGAGGGACTTGAGGGTGTACACCGAGCCATAAAAAGGACTGGTGATGATGTACACCAGGCCATAAAAAGGACTGGTGGTGATGTACTTATTGACGATGTACAACGGGCAATCAAAGACACCGGCGAAACAATAATGAAAAAATTTCATCCCATTGTCGGAAAAAAGAATGATCCAAGGACATCAGCGCAGTTAACAAAGAGTGCTCTCGTTGGAAGAGCGCAAAATAATGACTTCCAAGATGAGAGAAGGTCACATTTACAATGTGGATCATCAACTCCACCAGAAAAAATGTTAACGGCGACATCAACCCAAAGTGAGTTCATTAAGGCCAATTTTCCTCAAAACACGTGCATTACACGTTTGATTTTCGAATGTTCAAGCTAACTGAGTTGCTACAGGGTACCCCTCTTTCAAAAAATTTTCCCGATTACCACTAAATGATATGTTTATTTTCTGTGTTAAGATTGCCAAGAAATTGCAAAAGTCGATCAACTTTTGCTCAATGAACGCGTCAAAGATGTACCATCAATTTTACGGTTTAATTTAGACTGGCTTGAGGGTTTGTCCTGTACAATAAATCGCGGGAACTTCAGATATTTTTAATTTGGCAGTAGATTAGCGATACCTCTGGTCACACTTTTCTTGGTTATTTTCAGATTCGTTCCACGTGCAGAGATTCGTGCAACACACGAATCTTGTACAAAATCACTCCTGAAGGATAAGGAGTAAGACTATGGCATGGATTACCTTTATATTATTGCCTATCTTGGGGATCCAGTTTTTTGGTTTTATTTACCCTCCCTTGTTCACATTGATTTGCATTTTACTTTACAGGCCCCCAAATTAGGACGTCATAAGGATAAAAAACACACATAATGGCACATAAAGAAGGTTTCACAATTATAAACTATTGATAATTACAATTTATAAGCCTGCTTTGTTTTTTATAATCTTCTTTTCTCATTCTAAAGCAACTGGTTCAGGATCACGACAGTTACCAGCAGGAGACAACGTAGGAGAATGCGAAGAGCTTTGCGAGATTGCACGAGCTTTTGGAATGAAACCAGAAAATTTCGGGCAACATAAAGAAATGCGGGAAAAGCTTCATGAATACATCAAAGAAAGACGTCAGGAATCGAGGAAGGCAAGTTTAGCACAATATAGAGGGATACGTGGGACTGTCCATATATGATGCTTTCTTCCATCTCGAAGATGATGGTACTTAATAACGATAAAAAGATGTTTCGTTATCGTTCATTCAAACCTTCACGCTGTATCTTAACGGCAAAGCAAGGGCAAGACCTTGCCCTATACAAACACTGATTTCAAGATTCTGCTTTTCTCAGTCATTAGTTATCAAAGACATTTAAAAATGGGTTCTTATTATTTACGATTATACTTCGAGTAGTAATAGGTATACAAATGTTTTGTAACTTTTTCAAAATGTTTCTAGGGAAAAGTTCCCTAATTACAGAGGGATAAATTTTTTTAGTTGTGTGTCATGGAAACGCAAAGATTTGATCTCTGAGAAATGCAAAGGTTTGTATTTGTTTTGTAAAACGTAGTTCTTTCGTTCACATAAGTAAAATGGTAACTGTAGGTACATCGCGTTTAATGATAAGCAATAGACGCTTGAATTTATTGAGAACAGGCTATAAGATACATTTATTTCCATGATTTAAATCTTCCGTTAATAAACTGGTACAATACTAGAGATATGAATACATTATATGTGATGATGACTGCAGCTATTTTCAGTCAACTCAGACGGTATTACACACATTACAACTTTTTTTTCTGATTGTGAAACTGCGGTACAAACCGTGCGATGACAGAAAAAAAAGGAAAAAAAATTAAAAGAAAAAGAATAAGAAAAACTGCTCTTGCCTTTTTCGATGCAAAAATGATAAATAATCATGACGGTCTTCAAGCACAGATTTATCTTCATCCAGAAAAGTTTTTTTTCTTTAGCTTTTATGGGAAATCATTTTCTTTTCCCTTTACAAATGGGTTCTTACCTGGCATCAGTCTACCGCGCACTGTACTCCATCATAATGCATGTTTCCTTGCATTTCACTCTTTTCTATCTACTATAGCAATCAGAACGAGTTTGTAATCAGACCGCCAATTGCTGTTGTTGGTCTGTGATTCCAGCTTTAAATATGAAATACGTTAAGATGATTACTTCATGATCAGTGTTCACAAAGGAGGTTCGTAAACTTCCTGGGAGAGCACAGTCAATAGCTTGTGACACTCTGCCGCATCAGGTCGAATGTGGGGTTTTCCATCCCAACAACGCTGCATTAGATCCTGCCAGCCAGTTGGAGGCTTGATCGCGTCTTGTACATATGAAGGTCTTGCACCCTTAGCCTCTTGGTCCGACACATGTCCCTCTTCTTCAAGGAGAGCTCTCTTACCATACCACATCTCCCAAAGCATTATACCAAAACTGTATATGTCAGCCTTGTTATCGTATTCTTTGTAACGGATCACTTCCGGGGCAAGGTAGGCATCAGTTCCCGTTATCTTGTCTGCAATGATCTTAGCCTCTTCAGAAAGGCGAAAACCAGAGACCTTAACGACATTTCTGTGCGAAAGCTATAAAAAGAGGTGAAAAATATGAGCACAGTTGCTATAACAAGGCCTCTTCTGCAAAATTGAGTGGAAGCACTCGCAGTTCGTCACTTGACACTATGAACGATTGATTAAAGAGTACTTAAGCGGATTTTAACAACTATTACATTTAATTTGTAAGTCTTAATTTTCTGGCTAATTTATTAGATAATTAATGGTGAACTGACCCTCAAAAACACACTGAAATCGAAGCAACTGTAGAAATTAAATTCTTAAAAAATTCTGAAACTCACCAAAATTTTCTCCAGCTTGAGTCCGCGGTGAACAATACCCTGGTTGTGTACGAACTCTATGGCAGCAGCTATGTCCTTTGCCCAGCACAGTACATTTTTCTTGGCAGAGGTTATTCCGGAAAATCCAGGAATATTTTTAGGATTCTGAAAAATGTGATTCATCAAGTTTTCCTCGCAAAATTCCAAAACGTCGATCACCCGCAATCGATCGACTTCCTTCAGCAATGCTCTCCCAAAGAACTTGACAATGAAGGGAAAGTCAAGCTTCCTACAAAAGATATAATTGCATCGACCTTTATTCAATTTTGTTTGGATGTCAAAGTACCCGAATGTGCCGGCGTTTTTCAACTATTATGTTATCATACCAATCTAGCTAAATCAACTTAATTTCTATTGCTGTCAAATCACATTAAATTCTTCTTTAGACAGCCCTCCTTTATGTATTAACTGCAACTAGATTTATTAATTTTTATTTCATGCACGGTACTTTTCCCTAAATGCATTCCAGTGTAAAATGCCCAGAGTCACTAACCTTAATGTTTCTGCCTTACAAAAGAAGCCAATTGCGGTGGATTCGTTTAGTTCTCTAATCCACAATTTCACAGCTACCTGTGTTGGTTCGCTCTGTCCTGGTAACCTGAATGTTCCTCGATAAACTGAGGCGAATGCTCCATTCCCAAGAAGTGAAGTTGGATCGTCACGATCCCACTTTAAGTCATTACGACTTATTTCCGTTCTCTGTAATTCTTTGATAGAAAAGAGTGCCATCTTTTCCTTTATTCTAGTACTCATCTCTTCTAAGGGGCCATAGGATTCTTTAATTTCCTTCCCAGAGCGAGTCTCATCTCTGAGCTGCTGACATAGTATTTTTTCGGCGGCTGTGAGCTCACGCAAACAAGATGAAACTTTCGTAAGGTAAACCTGAACATCTTTGAGCTCCTTCTCCACGAACAACCAAAGCTGTTGCTCTTGAGCCACATTGCGAAGGTATTCACGGGAGGCTTGCACGATAAAGCTCTGTTTGTCTCTTTCGTATTCCCTCGAACGTTTAAAATTTGTTGCTTTCTCTTTAAGTTTCATGACACCCATGAGTGGGAAGCTGCCAACTAAAACTGCTAGGCCGACTGGAACCGAAATTGGACTTGTCAGCCCGATCATAACTTTTTGGGCTGCGCTGAAGTCATTTGAAGACTGGCAAGTTTGTGATCCACTAGCACCAGCATCCGTGATGACGGGTTTCTCTAGGTATCGAAATGGAAGTAGACTCTCCCCTTTATCAAATCGCTGGTGGGACAATTGGACCAGAGAGCTGCGGGTGTAGGATAAAATTCGGTTTTTTTCTTCCCAAGCGGCAATCGTGTTCTGCAGTCGCTTCTGAAATGCATCTTTGATAAGATGTTCGGTCACCTCCCAACTTTCTCCAGCGTGTGGAATATCGTCAAGCGTCCAAGAGGTAAATTTTTCCATAACTTCGCAAGACTGGAGGTGGTTGGACAGTACCCTTACGGCGTCTTCTGCCAGTTTTCTGAAATGCTCTTGCAACTCGTATTCAACTGAGCACAGCCACATCTCAATGTCACGAAGGCGTTCAGCATGTAAATCAGAGACGATTTTACGATCGGTGGACGGACAAAGGAGATCCATGACCATTTTCAGGTGGTAAGCCATACGTGAAATGGCCGAGTCAAGCCACCTGGGAGATTTTGCAAATTTCAAGTTTATTTCTCACCAAAATGTTCATTGAATTTATACTCTGTCATTCCATGTGGCGTTTGGAAATATGGCTTTTACTAAACTTTTTCTATAAAGTACTTTTCAATAACCATCCAGAGAGATAAAGCCCTATAATTTTTCTATGCCTTTGCGTATGTGTAAAATTATAATTTTCACTGTGCACATGAATGAATCTCATTAGATCAAGACATGAGGGCAACATAACTTGTTCTTCTTAAAAGGAGTCGAGAAAAAGGTAAGAATGGGATGAAAAAGATTGCATCACTTAATCAAGAAAACTGCTAACTCCAGCTAGATTAAAATGTAAATTAGGACCATAATATCTTCACGCAGCTTTTTGAGACCCTCTATACTCATGACAGAACCTACCTCCACTGCATTTGCAGTGTTGCTTTATTGTTTTGCAAGGCGTTGGATTTTATAGCATCCATCAGCGACACAAACTCCGCAACAGCTGTTCCATAGTTTGTGGTGTAAGGCGATGATATGTGGATGATTTGAGAATCAGGGTCTACTTCAGGCCAGTATTCTCTGAATTGTCTGACGACGTGATTTTTCATGGAATCAGCCTCCTTTTGAGATAACTGATGCCAATTGGCACATAGAAAAAGAGGACAAATTGACGCGGTTTCCAGATGGTCAAGACATAATCTTCTGCATTGTTTGATTGTTTCTTTCATCTATAAGGACAAACGTACACATGGAGTTAAAAATTCTTTCGAGAGTAATAATAATGATAATAATAACAATAATATTAACATATTTAAACGGGAAAAACCCTTTAGCAAAAGCTGTTATAAATGGTTTCTCTGGGCATTAAAATGATAGTAATAAAGATAATGATTACAGCCATGGTAATATTAATAATGATTCAAGTAATTGGTGATAATTATGATCAGTATAAGAATGATAATAACACTGATGATGATGATAAAGTTAACTGTAACATTATTGATTATTTTAAAAATAATATGATAATAGCTTACCATTCCTATTTTGGATTCTTTCTGCCGAATTTTTCTTATCAATTTAGTCAAATACGTCTATATAAGGGCGGCTAAGACATTGTCTGCCGCGGAATAATTGTATTAGTCGGTTTATGATTTGAAAAATTTTGCTGCAAAAATTAAACAGATGAAAGCCCTGCTATGGAAAACGCTGCGGGTGCTTTAACTTCACCTGTCCATGCAGCTTACCCTTTGTTGCTGAGTTAAACTGTCAATTACGCAGATAACTGCGAAGGCCTCAGAAAGGTACGCCTTTACTTTCACGTCTACGATCGGTGATTTTCCAAATTCTGGACTGTCAACTACAACGATTCCTTCCTAGAGGAGAGAAGGATGAGAGGTAAGTGAATCTTAAAACGGGTCAAATGACTCTTTTTCTAATAAATATTTTTGTAATTGTTTTTTTTAACATCTCTGACTTTTTATCTGATCAAGAAATCAAGCTACAACTGTTCTCCTGAAGGATTAGATTGCGAACGAAAACGATGTATGTTAGGTGTCAAAGATAATCCGTCAATCAACAATATATTGAAAGACCTAAGTTTGCCAAGAATAATGCTTGATGGTAGCTTTAGCAACCCTCAAGTCACAATTTACAATATATGCTCTCCGCTAGCTAATTACCAACCTTAAGCAGGTTGTTTGGCCAAAAGATCTCAATTTTATCAAAAACTGAACCTTGCAGAACTTCATTTTGAAAAAACCAGGAGATTTTTTGAAGAAAGATATGTTGAGAGTTTCCAGCCATCTCGCCAGGTTGGATAGTCTTTGAAAGAAGGCCTGTTTGAGGATCTGCGTCTTTATAGTGCGCTACCAGCTTGTGGGTTTTTCCATATCTTAATTCGCAGACAACGGAAGAGGTGCCAAAAAAGGAGTCAGGGAGAGGTTGTTCCCCAAGAATTAGACTCAGCAACGCGCTCTTTTTCGGATCTCTTTCACCTGTGGAAATAATCATTAGTTTTGAGAAAACTATGAAATTGGTTGTGTTTAAATTTCCAGATCGTTCTCTTTAATGAGTCCTGATTAGGTTCTTATGAAAAATATACATCGTTTTTACGACCATGAATGACAAGAATCTTGACTTATACGGGAAACTGCCTAGAGCCTTGTTCGTATAAAGACAAAGGAGGCGTTATTAGGAAAAACATTAAAAAAGATATTTTACTGAAGCGAAAGGTGTGGAGAAATCAACCTGACAAAAGCACGAGGTATTCCTCTCTCTCTAATCTCTGTATGTGGTAGGCTAATTGGTTCCTGAGATTTTTCACTCCCAGCTCCAGAAGAGCGTAATCCTTGTCACTCATCATATTTAGAAGGGCCTCTGTGCTCACGTTAAGTTCTAGGAAGAGCGTTTGCCTTCTCTTGACTTCTTTCCTGGCCTCTGTCAACGCTGAAAAGGACTAATAAGTGGAGCATGGATTGATTAAATTTCTGTGCAAAATATCAATAAGACAATAACACTTAGACTTAGCTATACTATTTATCTATGTCGGTCACTCACTATTAGACAAAAATTACTTTAGTATGGTGGTTTCTTTGACTGATCAAGCAAGCGTAGTCACGAACACTTTTCCTTACATGCACATTTAGCGGCCACCCACCAGGAATGGTGGGGTGACCGTTAAATACAGGCTGACCAGAAAATGACTTGCGAGATGTTCTTGCGAAATATTTTTGCTAGCAGTCCAAAGAAGAAAGAAAATTTAAAATTACCGTGTTTAAGGGGAATTTACAACCGCTTAATAAAGGGTGACCGCTAGACTTTTTACCTTCTCCATCACAGAGGACTTTATGTCGTAAAAAGAACTAGATTCAGTGGTTGAGACACCAAGAACTTTCCCTGAATACAGTGAATCACCAATATCTTCAGTGGCGGCAATATTTAGTTTCTCTCTAGACGGCGTCACGACTTGAAGAGATGCCTGAAAATTAAAGGGAAATTAATATCAAAATTCATTACTTCACTAAAACATCAGTGAATAATAATGTCGAGTTTAATAGTCAACTCTAGCTGACTTAGAAAAAAAAGTAAATAAAACTTGGACTCTTTCGTCGGCCACAAGCTACCATCGATCATCCTTTTTCAATGGTCCGCAAAAATATTAAAGTGGTTTTGTTCATGAAGTACCATAAACAAGGAAGGGATAAACTCACTGGCAATTAAACATATAGCCAATATTAGGGATATTCTCTGAAATGTGATAGAAGCCAAGAATTGTATTATATTTGCTCACTTTTGCATTCAGTTTGCTGGCCTTCCTATAGTCATTATATTTTTAAGATGGACCGTGGAAACGGTAAATTCTTTTTCCACTTGATTTCGTGAGTTATCAAAGCGCCTTGAAAATGTGGCAATTTTTTACCCTAAATGTAAATCCATCACAAAGCACTTTCATCACCAAATATTTTGTGGCAGATATATTTGATGGCAGATATATTTGATGGCAGATATATTTGATGGCAGATATATTTGATGGCAGATATATTTGATGGCAGATATATTCGTTGGGCGAGACAGTATACGGAAAAACCAGCCTTTACGCTTACTCCTAAAGCCACTGTAAATTGACTGTGAATGCTGCTACAGTAGTAAACGAGAAAAATACAGAACAAAATACTGATCAGCTACAAAAAAGTATTTACCACTCAGTTGAAATTACCTGATCTGCACGCAGAAAAATTTCTTTATATCTTACGTACTCCTCTTTGGTAATCGTGGTTCTCAGTTGCAAACGACTTAATCCAAGCTCCTTCAAAACTTCAGGCGTGACGAGTAATTGTTGCACTACTTGACTGAGATGACCACTGCAGTAGTCATCCCAAAGTCTTTCAAGAGCCTGAAGTGAGCTGCAGGTCACTGATATCACCAAACTTCCCTCCCTGTAGTCTTTGACTTCTACTCTTAGCACGCCCTTTAAATACTCAAGAAGTTGCTCAATAGGCCTTTTAATCAGGAGAAGATATTTCCAAATTTGGGTCACAGTTGAGGAATCCGAGGGATTTCCTTCTGTGTTTTCTCCTTGTTGGTCGTCGAGGCACATTGACATCGTTTCGATTTGTATTTTAATCTCGTCTGGGGTAAAAATTAAAATAATTTACATATTTCACAGACCGTACATACAAAATGAACAATGAATTCAATTCAATAAGAAAAAATTAAAATGAATTGAAAAAAAATATATAAATAAAAATAAAAGAAAGGTACTGATTTTAGAATCTTAGAAAATTTTCCTCAACCCAACCCATTTGATTTTTTATGCCAAAATCTTTTTTTCCTCTCTTGAATTGCCTAGTAGTCTACGGAAAGAACGGGTAGATCAATTTTACTCTAAGAAATGATTGCAATAAATCGTATAGGAGAAATCAAGGGAAAAAACAACATTTGAATAGACAGGATATAAAGGCATAGATTTTCGCGCGAATAAAGGAAAAGGGAAAAAAACAAAAATTTGATTACAATTTTTGCTCGCTAAAAAACTTTGTATTATTATAATTTTCTTATTCTTATTATAATTTTATTGTAATTTTCCTCGGAAAAACTACCGGGGTATTTACAGAAAACTTCAAGAAGTTGTGTAATTTTCGATGCTTACCAAGTTTTAGATCAACCAGTCGAACCTGATCCTTAACATCTGTAGAGTCCTGTCGAATGGCTTGCATATCGGAGTGAAGTTGATCCACCCTATCTCCCAGTTGTATTACTGAATATTTCACCTCGAGGTCTTTTTCGTACCATACTTTCAGATCTTCGGCGTATCTTTGTGCTTCTGGAGTTAAAGGATCGTGGAGCAAATCTTCAATCCGTTTATTCCATTCATCTTTCTTTGCAGTACTTAGTGATCCGGCAATTCGCAAAAGAGCTTCCCTGATCTCCGTCCAGAGTTTGAGGAAATCGGAGTCGGTAATTTCCATTTTCGAAGTGTGACCATATACGGAATTCCGGAAAAACTTTATCCGAACCAAATCCGCCTCAATGCTACGATCTGTGTTAGCTGGCAGACTGTTCCATCCAGTTGAAGGTGCGGTAAGACCGCATATTGTTCTTAACAATCTAAAAGTTAACGTGATATCGAAATCAGAGGACTTTCCAAATACTCCAGGCGAAGGATAGAGGATTCTCCACTCTGGTGGTAATAACTTTGCGGTCCTGAGCTTTGCTTGTATGGCAGGGTCTGCTAGCTTCAGCGGGAGATCAGCTGGAGGATGGCAAGAATCAAAATTTTCTCTCAAAAGTTGGATACCCCCGTACATTAACAGTCGTGTTAAACGCTGAAAATTTGCCTTTTCTTTCGTGGAACGTAATGTTTCTTCTACATATGCAACAGACGCCATTAAGTTGAAACACTGATGAGAAGTGAGAGAAAGGAAGTCCTACTCCTAGGAAAAAAATCAGCTTATTTAGAATGGCAAAATGCAGAGCACAAATATTTTTATGTTTAAAGTTCGCAGTTAGGGAAAGAGTTAGAGACCAGGGGAGTAAACCAGAATTATTCATAGTAACTAAAAGTCTCTCACTTAATCAATTTCGCAAAGCGTTGTATGCTTTGCAGCTGGTTTCTCCCGAAAAAAACGCGCCCACACTTTAAAAATGTCACTTTATTGGGGCCACTACATGTAGTAGGTCTTATTGGTATATGGCATATGGCATGGGCTAATAACAATACATAGGCATAGAATAACTCTATGATTTGGACATAGTTTGATGCTACTCTGGTTTGCAGATTTAATGAATGTAACTGAAGAAGTTACAATTCATAGACCTAACGTTTCGACACTCCTGTCTAGTGCCTTCATCAGGGGTGATCTAAACGCTGCAACAAGAGGTCCTTTTATATGATCACTTATTAGCGGCCTTTTTTCTGACGAGGTGTAAATAGGCGTCAGGAAGCAAACCGTCATCGTCACGATTTAAAGGAGCGTGGGCGGAGTTAATATGCCAAGTCTCCAAACAAAGGCGCTGGTGGTAACGCCGATTAGTGGTGATAATTTTAGAATTATCCCACCCAATTGTATGGTTGGTTAGCAAACCGCATGCGCGATTGCTTACGTAACTTGGAAATACCATTCGTGTGCGCAGGTAGATAGTATATAATATAACATAATCGGGCTGGGTCTAAACGATAGAATACCAAACAGACAGAGCTATGCTGCACTTTGTTGTTGAAGAAACGAGCAAAGCTCCCCTTTGGTAGCAGTCGTAACTCAAGAATATTGCAATTCTGACCATATGATCGATTTCTATGTAGTCAAACTGCATATGGTGTTTCTAGAAACAAAGATAAGGTTTCTCAAGTTTACGAAACGAGTACAAACCAATCGAAAAACGCTTCACATGTTGTTAGAAACGAACGACGCATTAAGAGTAGAACGTATTTATATTCTGATCATCATCTTCATGGTGTAACCGGAAACAAACGGCACTTTAATGGTAAATATTTCTCAGCTTCATTTCCAATTTACAGTCTGCGAATCTAATGTTTTAATACACTCAGGTTCCGGGTGCCATGACTTCGGGCGAGATGACTTCCGGGCGACTTGACCAGTTACCCTTGCTTGTCTTCGTTTAAATCAAACTTTCGCTGCGCAAGAAACAGATGGTTGACAAATTTCGTATTCCAGTAGCTACAGAGTTTCTATGATCAAGCAAAGATGGTTTAAAGACACTGACATATGCAGCTACAGCAGAGGTTACCGAATTTAATGGCAGGAAATTAAAAAAAGCGTTATCATTTCTTTCAATTTTGGCTCATTTTCCCAAACTGAAATTATCATTCATGCTCAGTAGAATAAAATTTCAACCGAGACTGACATCATATATTACATTTTAAGAGGAAAACATTCCCTTTACTCGAAAATCCGTTAAAAAAAACAACAGGAACGTCAATGGAGGTCTACAGCTGCTGAAAATACCTCTGTCTAATATTCCCGTCAGTCGTCAATCCCCCACCCCTGAACTAGTCCATAAATAACCCCTGAGACGGATTCTTCGACAACCAGCGCTGTGGAGTTTAAAAAGGTGAAGGGCTGAATAAACTAACTGGAGCTCTCCTCTCATCTCCAATTACTTAGAATCAAGATTCAACTTTCTTTCTCGTAGGTAATTTACCAACCGGCTGTATACTCATAATGTTACATATGTATTAACATCCTGGAGCGGAGGAAAATAAAAAAAATTCACATTTGAAAGAAAAAGCAAACAAACAAAGCAACTGTATTGAGAAATGCTTTTCCAGGAATCTCTTTGAGTTGCAAGTAAAGTCAGAAGAGAAGATAGATTGAAGGATTGTGGAAATATTAGAATAACAGAGCGGGGAAAGAGGTATGTCATCTTGTTTATTTTTGTAGTTATATACCAAAACGTGTGCAATCAAAGGTGGTTTTCTTTCGCTTAGGATATTTTAGTTTTGATATATCTGTATACACGCCCTGCGTGTTCCAGTTTAGGACATTTCGATTAGTGTATGCCATACGGTAATGGCTTATTTCAGGCTTATTTCAGGCATATTCCAGGCTTATTTCAGGATTATTTCAGGCCTGAGCTTTTACTTTATTTCAGTTTTTACGAGCTTTCAAGTTTAATGAACGAACTGAGATTCCATAGACCCTTGGAGGTTCCGTCAATAAAAGACATTTCTCCGACGCGGCGTTGTTAGATTCAGTTGATGTCAGCGTCCGCCCCATTACAATTACTCTCTCTCTCCTGGTACCCTGTGCATTATCGATTGTTAGATAAATATCAGCTGTAACATAAATATTTCTCACCGGATCTGCATGACTGAAGGTACCAGCAATCTGTTACAGTAATGAATCTAGCTTAAAAGTGCTTTTCTTTAAATTGCCTGATTTAAGCAAAGACTCTTCGTGATTTGCAATACAGCACAACTGCAACACTGTTTTCGCAAGTGAGGTAACAAAAGTACTATGCTTAATAATGCCGAAACAGTCGATGATTCCGTATTTTTTTCGGTTAAAGGTATTTTAGGCTAAAAACTGTACCACCTTCAATGTTTATGATTAATTACAACACGTTGGTTGAAAGCTCGCTTTTTTGAAGAAAAAAAATAACAACAAGTAGGAAGAATTTCGAACCAAGTTATGGTCAGGTATGACGTGAAAATTATAGCACATGTCAGATTCTGGCAAGGCTCGATCCCCAACGGAGGTCCTCAGAGCTAGTCTTGATGACACAAATTCGAAGGTGGTACTAATAGCATGCACATTAAAAGGCAGAGAAGAACAAAGTTCGTGAAATAAATTCCGTAAACCTGCTCTCCGATTCAAGCTGTTCGAGAAAACAGATGCACTCTCCTGCAGTTTCTCTGAAATCATTACAAACGCAGTTCAAACAGTTAAACAAACTGCTAAGTCTTTCAGACACATCACTGTCGTCATTGGACGCCTTTTTTTCCTCAAGAACACTTTCTGGCTTGAATTGATACAGTTCTACTGCAGCCATGTTTGTTTCCCGGCAAAGTTGAGCTCAATGACGTCACGCAATATGGCGCCGGCGTTATTGCCCGATTTTTGAGCAAGGATTTCATATGGTTAGGAAGTGCTTTGGGGGCTGAAACTTTGGTGAGTGCTCCATCTTTGTATTAACTTTTTGTTGGTGGAAAGAAAAAAAAGAGTGCTTTTCTGGACCCTACCAAAAGGTACACAAGCCAAAACAAAACAGCACATAAAAAAAGACAGGGGTTTCTGCAATTATAAGTTTAAAACACAAGGCAGCAAGCTAAATACTTAGGGTCACTTTTTGATTTAAGTGTCAAATTTATAATTTAACATTTACAGTTACCAGAGAAGACCTTTAAATATTGTTTTCGCTGTTCGATTTGTTTATATTCATGGCTTCAGGCCAGCTTGACCTTGTGTTTCAAAGGGAATAATTTCGCCATTTTTGAATAATTTCGTTGTCTGCAAAATCTGGAGCAAGAGGAAAGACATGTGAACAGATCGATAAAATTCGTCGTATATAGAGATTGAACAATTCATATCACTCACTTGAATATGAGTGCGTTAAATTATCTCGAAAAGCTTCCACCCTCTCGACTATCAATATTACCGGTATCACAAAGCAATTTGAGTATATTTCGAGGTGCGTGAGTACTGATGGAATTTTCATATACTTTCCGCTTCGATTATCTTTGTGGCAGTTAATAATTTTGAGCAAGCACTGAAACATTTTCGTCTACCAAACCCATGTTGATAAGAAGAAGGCCCACTTTTTTCAAAGAGGGTTTTTCGTAGCTTTACGACACAAGTTTATTGCAAGGCCATTGCAGAATCAAAACCAGTGGAAACGAAAGAAGTATTCAACAAAAGATCAACATACATTACTTATTCTCGGAGATCGTACTAAGTATGGCATCTCAAAGGAGATCAATATCTATTATTAAACATTTCCGTTGAGCGTGTTCAGTACATTTATGAAAAGAACGCAATCAAATTCTCGAACTGTGTGGTTTGCAGCTTAGAGGGCATGATTTGTTTTATTATTAACGCGTCGGTTAGGAATCAACTGTGTTGCTTACCCTGGAGGGTTTCGTACGTGATTATAGGATGTGTAATTTAGCTAAGATTTCAGTCATGCTGTGATTTCAACCACTGTTATTCGAATATAACTCTACAGCGTCGTCCGCAGTCGCGGAATATAAAAGAGAGAAGGTAACCATTCTGCTAGTTGCAGTTTGTAGTACTTTCAGTAATATTAAATTAGTCTTAAGCTCTTTTTTTAAGGAAACACGTTAATGACTGGTTGTCGTCAGACGGAGAGATATTCGGAAGGTTTGCCATGCCAGTTGGCGTTTGGGCTTTTGCCATCTGATTTTCAAATGTTATGCGAAAATACTACTGAATTGACGCGGATTTGACGCCTGTTCGACGGAAATTATCACGTTATTCGATCACTTACCGTTTTGAAAATGCTGTGTCCAACATGAAATGATTGAACCTTTCAGTTCATTAGCTGCTACGTCTTGATTGCATGCATGATTAAATTCCCCCAGTGCAGCTTAGAATTAGAGTGTGGTGGGGGAAAGGGACTGGGGGGTGGTCACAAGCCTCCCACTTCCCGTTCCACGTTCTCTTGTCCCCCTGCCTCCCGACTCCCGCCCTTCATTGTGTTACCCCGTGAATGAAAGTGATCCTCGCAGTAATGTGCACTAATTAGGCAGTAGTGAAAATAAGGCCTGAAAAAAATTCAGGCCTGTACGGGATTTGGACCCATGACCTCTGCAATACCGCATTCCACTTCGTACATTAGAATGGTTTAGCAAGAGGACAAGAACGTCATTTCAGAACGGCGCGCACAGCAAAAATGCCGAGAAGAAACT